GGAAATCATGATAGGAATCACAAGCCCGGGAATATCGTATCAATTGGGAGATATATACTCCGTATGCAGGCGCTGCTGGAATGTTGCTACATAGAAATGGAAAGTTCACAATTGGGAAGCTGAAATCATCTCTTTTGTCGTAAAGTTTTGTTTTCAACCGACCCTCATTGTCAATTTCTAGATGTAAGTCAAGATATGAGGCAGACTTAACTGTATCTGTAGTATCCTTTATTTCTAGTTCGATGGGATAGATTCGTTCAACATAGTCACCAAATTTTGTATTATTTAGTGAGAGAACATCATCTATATAGCGGAACGTAGAGTTAAAGGATATTGCTAACTTCTTATCTCTCTTCCTAAGAAGCTCCTGTATGAAGTCAGCCTCATAATAATAAAGAAACAAGTCGGCAAGAAGAGGGGCACAATTGGTTCCCATTGGAATTCCGACAGTCTGTTGAAAAACACGTCCTCCAAACGTAACAAATATGTTGTCAATCAAGAAAACAAGCATCTTTATAATGTCAGTTTCAGAGAATTTTTTGTTTGAATCAGAGTGATTCTTTACAAAGTAGGATTTATCCCTCCCCAAGACAAGATACTTGTATCTACGTTCGCCATTCTTTTTAATGAAACAAAGTAATACCAACTCTTTCAATTTTCAATTTGTCTTTTAGTTTGGAATGGGGAATACTTGTGTAAAGTGTAGAAAAGTCAAATGTTTTAATACTATTGCAAGATGAGAGAGTCTTAGATTGTATGTACTCTAAAAGATCTTTGGAATTTTTTAGTATCCACATCTGATTCACGCCACCTCTAGAATAGGCAGTTTCACAATAACTTTGGAGCCCGGCTTTGATTGCTGATAAAATAGATGTTAATAATTTAGAAAGAGGTTTCGTGGAGCAAATGTTGAAGTGTTTTGATATTTTTGTTTCACTTAGTCGCAGATTGCAAGCCTTAGGAATTAGAATCGATCGGCGGTGTAATCTACTTGTATAAAGCTTTATATATTCCGATAGCAGAAGGTCTGGAGGGTTCATAGATATAAGAAGATGTGATATGAGTGCCAATGAGACAACTCTCCATCAAAGTCAAAATTTGTAAAAGTAAACCATTATAGGTTAAAGTACGGCCTTCAATTCGGATCCTTGGCTCACACATAACAGCATTGAAGCTAGAAAGGGCACCCAAAATATTAGTGTGAAACCATTCAAACAAGAAAACTAACGGTCTAATATATGTTTGTAACATAAATTGTATTTTTTCCTTTGATGTTTTAATGAAATAATTTGCTTAAAAAGTGTGTTGAGGGAAAACCATGGTATATTATCTGAAATTTAATGTTGTACCATACTTTGCTAATTAAATATGCAACTCAACTAGAATCCAAAGGAAAGAAGGCGGAGCTTAGTTATGGTATAACATATTCATTTTAATGTTATTCCATGGCTGAAGGGGGGGGGGTAAACATAGAAAAAAAAAAGAATAAATATCGGCTACAAAAATTTGTGAAAAAAACACGAATCTTTTTGCGATCAAAACGGGTGGACGTAAACTATCTACGATCCCTTTGTCCGCACCTGTTCTGTGTTTTATCATTAAAATTGTGTTTTAATAAATAATCGAATTAATAAAATAATGGAAGAAAGAAGTTTAATATACATTTTTCAATGAGATGAACGACCAGTAAAATATGTTTAATTTGTATGATACCTTGAAAACCAACAACAAAAACCCAATTCTTATCGTCATTAGAATAATAATTTAATCCTTGAACACTGGAGTCCGACATTTTTGTTTACTTTCTGATGTCATAATGAAATTACCTGTGCATACGATTATACATGGGGCGCAAAACTAAAAAAAAACGGAAAAATCGGACATTTTCTTTACTTTCTACAAACTGTGGGGTTCTATAAAATGAAATACACAGAGGATCACACACGAGGCACAAAAATGACTTGCTCGAGCTTCCATTTCATTGGATTAAACTGTAACGTGATCAATTTATAATATTAGTTCAAGGTCTTCAAGCTGTCAATCATTTAATTTATATATACAAATTTTATATACCATGTGTCTTACTCATTAACATATTTAAATAAACTCATCCTTCGGATTCGTTTGTTTAAATATGTTAACTCGTAAGAACCATCATGGTATAATATATAGTACATAAAAACGATAAACAATTATGAACCACATCAACAAACAACAACCACAGTGACACTGAACATCAGGTTCCTGACTTTGAAGATGCCTTATCTTTGCGAAGTTTTCATCTTTCATTTGTCCATGACCTCATTTTCATGGTTCGGCTCAGTATTTCTTGAAAAAAAGAAAAGTATTTTGGTCTTAATTATTCACCTATTGTGAGTAAATATAACTGTATTTGACAGGTAGAACTCACAAAGAGACATGTGGACACATGCTGGATTGAGTGTCTTAGGTTAACTAAAGAAACCATTACCCGAGCTCGGACCCGAGCTATTCATGATTATTAAATCCACATAATTTAATGCTTACTGGCCATGGCTATAGGCAGTAGAATTTTATGCATAATGCCATTTTCTGTCTACTTATAAAATATCATACCCTATATTACATAAATCCTAGATAAAATGAATAACGCTGGCACTAGTTTTGTATCAAATCCCTATATACACCGTTATGGTGGTGCGCCTGACATAGGCGGAACTTACAAATAATTTAGGAAGGGGACCTGAAAAGATAACGTTGGTTTCTTTCCCTCCACATATATTATCCCTGTGAAGAAAACAAAGTAAATAAGAAGACAATGATTTATATTATATTTTACAAACTGGAGTGAATAATATATGGGTAGACTTGATGATGTTTATAACGTGAAAGCCAACAAGATAGTATTCACCAGTGCAGACTTATATTTGCTATTTTGAGACGGTAAATGATCGTAAAAACACGTTGAACTGCATGTTGTGTTATGCATAAAGATAAATAGACCTAATTCTTCTGTCTCTATTAATGCATATATATTTTCTAATTTACATTTGCTTTTTAGTGATTTTGCTATTTTCTATTTTCTGTTTTTTTTTTGTGCAATATAGAGACAGAAAGCAGTGCCCATTCAAAACAGGAGATTGCGGACAATTTGTTTGCGCTCATTTTTCGCTTATTTTCTACTTGTCAGACATCCGTACCTGTATAAACTTATAGATAAACGGTTTTTCTACATTTTCGTGTGCCGTACTAGGATCAATGACCTTTCTGAGTCCAGATAATCCACTTTTTTCAACATTCAATACATCCTATTTTCACTCTCGACCAGTTTGACATCTTGAAATATTTCGACTAATCAACGTTGATTTCCGGTAACTAGGATCTTCTACCTTCTTGCATATTTCATTAGATGTTTTCCAATGCGTTTAAGTACATATGTAACTGTATTGATGCCTTTTAACAAATGTTAGAAATATGGGCATCAAACTTAATTAAGCTGATAGTCAATTGTTACACCAAGTAATTTCACTTCTTTTTCACAATGTATAATATTACCATCTAGATTAAAAGAAATATTTTTATTTTCAGTTTTCTTGCCAATGGCTATTGCCTGAAACTTGTCAGGGTTGGCCTTCATATGATTTAAACTGAACCATTTTATTAGCTCTAAGCTTTCTTTTTCTAAAATATTTACCACAGTGTCTATATCAGAATGTGAATATGACAAAGTATTGTCATCTGCATAATTATACAATGAACTGCTTGATACAAAATGAAAAATGTCATTCAAGAAATATTAAAAAGTACAGATCCTAATATAGAGCCTTGCGGCACACCTTTATCTTTCCAGGTACTTATATCCATACCAACTATTACACATTGTTTTCTTTTAATTAAATAGCTGTCTATCAAGCTTAAAGCTGTTTCAGATAATCCATATGCCTTTAGTTTTAAAAATTGATAGATTGATAAATTATGAGGAAGGCAGTCGAAGGCTTTCGAGATGTCCATCAACACAGCAGCAATATATTGATCATCAATAGTTTTCTTCCAATCCTCAATGATTTCCAAAAGTTATGACAGAGAGATACATATATGTATTTGTCTCTGTATTTATATTTTATTGGTTATGATTGCAAAACTATAAAACAAACAGTTTATTTACTGTACATAAGAATATGTGTGTCAATGAGACAACATTCCATCCAAGTCACAATGCATGAAAAGTTAACAATTATTATGATTATCATGATTTATTAAAGGTCGAAGTAGTCCAAATAATTATGACGTCTGGCAAGGCTATTTTATATAAAAAAAAAAAAAAAAAGTTTGTTTTTTTTTTGGTGGGGGGGGGGGGAGTGAGGTGGACAGCAAGACTATAATTTTTTATTTTTCTGGGACAGCCTGACAGCATCACAATTATTTGGACTTCTTCGACCTATAATCTTGATAATCATGATAATTATTCAATCCAAATAATTATGACGTCCGAAAAGGTTACTTTATTTTTTTTTTCTGTGATGGCTTCTCAGGGAAAAAAAACATTGCCAGACGTCATAATTATTTGGAATAAGGTCGAAGTACAGCCTTCAGTCATGTCAACACTGAGCCCGGTAAATAATGTTGACATTTACATGTACACATGTACTAGCATTCGTGTCCTTATGATGAATAAAGAAGATGTGAGGTACTATACATCAATGGGGCAGTAAGCATATATATACATTTTTTGTACTTCTTTTCCATGTTGTATATATTATAGATTCAGAATTAGAATTACTCAAAACAAGGATTTGTATAGTGACACTATACACATGCTTGCTCAAACATACAGATGCATTATATATTGTTTTATAGAGAGAATGTCAACATAGTTATATTATATACATGATATACATAATATAAGTGTAAATTGAGAAAGGTATCAAACTTTGTCAAAAGGTTTATATGTCTGTATATTTGTTTGTTCCTTACAGAGTCGTTCAAGAACTTACATATTGGAGATAAACATTATGAATAAGATGTTAGAGGGAGGAAAAGTTTTAGTCACAATCAATGGTACTCTACAGAGACAAATAAACACACAGGCTGGTAAAACACTTTATAAATGTTATGTGTGTGCTAAAGAATTCTCTCGAGATAGTCACTTAAAGGCACACATGAGAATACATACTGGTGAAAAACCTCATAAATGTGATGCTTGTGCTAAACATTTTTCTTTCAGTAGTCACTTAAAGGCACACATGAGAATACATACTGGTGAAAAACCTCATAAATGTGATGTCTGTGCTAGAGAATTTACTCAAGGTAGTACCTTAAAGAGACATATGAAAACACATACTAGAGATAAACCTCATCACTGTGATGTATGTGGTAAAGGGTTCAGTCAACCAGGTAATTTACAGATTCACATGAGAATACATACATATTATAAACCTTATGACTTTGATGGATGTAGTAAAGGGTTTAGTGATATTGGTTGTTTGCAGAAACACATCAAAACACATACAGGTGAAAAACCTCATCATGCTCATGCCTGTGATGTATGTGGTAAAGGGTTTTGGCAGCGTGGTGCTTTACAGAGACACATGAGAACACATACAGGCAATAAACCATATAACTGTGATGTATGCGGTAAAGGTTTTAGTGAGCAAGGTAATTTACAGCGTCACATGAGAATACATACAGGAGATAAACCTTATGACTGTTGTGTATGTGGTAAGGGGTTTAGTTATCGAAGTAATTTACAACGTCACATGAGAACACATACAGATTAAAAACCTCATTAGTGTGATGTATGTGGTAAAAGATTTAGTCAGTATGTGATAAACATGATAAATATCGTGAATGTGACGGACAATGTACAATGATGTATGTGGTTAGGGTTAAGTCGGCATGGTGAAGAACATGACAAATATCGTGAATGTGACGGACAATGTACAATGATGTATGTGGTTAGGGTTAAGTCGGCATGGTGAAGAACATGATAAATATCGTGAATGTGACGGAAAATGTACAATGATGTATGTGGTTAGAGTTAAGTTGGCATGGTGAAGAATATAGACACATGAGAACACAAATTTTACATGAATATGATCATGATGATATTTTGTAAATGGTATTTTTGGTTAAGATTGTGTATAAGTGCCTAACCCATTGGAGGAGGCTGTAATTAAGTGGTTGTTATTTGTTTCTATTCATATACATTGTATATAATATTTGTTTTTCGTTTTGTAATAGTCAGTATAATATAAAATCAGTATGTAAGATTTCTCATTTGAATTGTTTTACATGTCAAATATTTACATTTAGTCATGTCAGGGCAACTGAAGCTTACCATGCGGTTTTTGTTTTACTCATGGTTGAAGGTCCTACGGTGACCTATAGTTCTACAGTTGTAACACCATTTGGTCTCTGATTGAGAGTTGTCTCATGGGCAATCATACCACTTTTCTTATCTTTATGTTGGTAATTTGGATTCAATTTGAAGAGACACACAAGAACACTTCTGTAAACATGTAAAGGGTTTAGTCAAATTGATAAATCGACAATTACCTGAGACACATGACATGCATGAGAAGACTTTTGTAAAATTGACAATTTACACAGACTGAAAAAAAAAAAAACAGGAGAAAATAGTCCTCGTAAATATTTAAACAAAATAGTTCCTACGCCTAGCTGTAACTTTGTCAGTCAGTAAAATCGTTGTGTAATTTTGATGTGAGTTGATAATAGGCTTAAGGATATGAGATCACTATAGTACTTGTAAAACATTTCTTAAAATTTAAAATTAAGATACTATCAGGACATATTTGATATTTGACCTGCTGTTTAGACCAGAAGTACCTGTTTTACACTTATAAACTTCCGGGAATCAGTGCGCTCTTATCATGCTAATATATGAAATCAAAAGTAACTATGTTGATTTTTTCCGCACATGTCAAGGAAAGATAAAGCTTTGACATGACATGAATCTTTGAACATGAGACAAATTAAATAGCTATGAATGCTCGAACTTACTGAATTTTAGCTCATCTGGACCGAAGGGCCAAGTGAGCTATTCTCATCACTTGGCGTCCGTCGTCGTCGTCCGTCGTCGTTAGCTTTTACAAAAATCTTCTCCTCTGAAACCACTGGGCCAAATTTGACCCTGCCAACCAACCAAGATGGGCATCATGGCTAAAAATAGAACATGGGGGGTGAAATGTAGATTTTGGCTTATATCTCTGAAACCAAAGCATTTAGAGTAAATCTGACAGTGGGTAAAACTGATTATCAGGCCAAGATCTATCTGCCCTAAAATTTTCAGACAAATCTGACAACCAGTTGTGGGGTTGCTGCCCCTGAATTGGTAATTTTAAGGAAATTTTGCAGTTTTTGGTTATTATCTTGAATATTATTATAGATAGAGATAAACTGTAAACAGCAATAATGTTCAGCCAAGTAAGATCTACAAATAAGTCAACATGACCAAAATTGTCAGTCGACCCCTTTAGGAGTTATTGCCCTTTAGATCAATTTTTAACATTTTTTTGTAAATTTTTGTAATCTTGTACAAAAATCTTCTTCTCTAAAACAACAGAGACCAATTCAACCATACTTGGCCATAATCATTGTAAGGGTATCTAGTTTAAAAAATTTATCCGAAGACCCCGCCTTCCAACCATCATAGAAAAATAGAACATAGGGGTAAAATGCAGTTTTTATACGACCGCAAAAATTAAAAAAATTTTGGTCGTATATTGGTATGTCGTCGGCGGCGTCGTCGTCGTCGTCGTCGTCGTCGTCGTCAGCGTCGTCCGAAGACGGATTGTTTCCGGATAATAACTTTTGAATAAGTAAAAAGAAATCAATAAAATTTTAACACAATGTTTATAACCACAAAAGGAAGCTTGGGATTGATTTTGGGGGTTATGGTCCCAAATATTTAGGAATTAGGGGCCCAAAGGGGCCAACAACAGCATTTATCTAGTTTCAGGACAAAAAGTTGTGTATTAGTATTTCAATTGTTCTGATATTGTACCACAATGTTTAATACCATAAGTTGAAGGTTGGGATTTATTTTAAGGGGTTATTGGGCAAACAGTCTAGGAATTAAGGGCCAAAAAGGGGCCAAAAACAAGCATTTTTCTAGTTTCAAGACAATAACTTGTGTGTAACTGTATGGATCTCTTTGACATTGTACGACAAGATTCCTTATAACACAGGCAAGGCTGGGAATTAGTTTGGGGTTAATTTTCCCGAATATGTAGGAATAAGGGGCCAAAAAGGGCCAAAAAGAAGCATTTTTCTAGTTTACAGACAATAACTTGTGTTTAAGTGTATGGATCTCTATAAATTTTTATAAGAAGGTTCAATACCACTAAAGGAAGATTGGGATTGATTCTGGGGGTTATGGTCCCAATAGTTTAGGAATTAGGTGCCAAAAAGGGGCCCCAAATAATCATTTTTGTAGTTTTCAAACAATAACTTATGTTTAAGTGTATGAATCTCTCTGAAATTAAACCACAAGTTTCCATACCATGAAGGGATGGTTAGTTTTGACTTTGGGGGTTATGGCTCAAAATTTTTCGGAATTGGGGGCAAAAAAGGGGAAAAACTAGGTATTTCTGGTCAATGGACAATTTAAAAGAAGTGTAAGGGAGGTAATTCTAAAACATTTAACATACAATGTTGGGTATGTTCGGATTTACCTCCCTTACACTACTTGTATATTATGTATAAAGAAATGTCAGGTTTTGGACTAATTGCAAAAAAAAGGGCGTTGGTAGTTGTTTTCAATTTCTTTTTTTTTCAAATTTCTCAAATTCTAAATTTTTGAAAAGCTAAAAGAAGAAATCTTGAATTGCACAATAGATTTGTAAGATCTTGACATTTGTTTTGTGTCATAAACTCATATTATGTCAAAAATTTGATCGCAATCCAAATTCAGAGCTGTATCAAGCTTGAATGTTGTGTCCATACTTGCTCCAACTGTTCAGGGGTTCGACTTCTGCGGTCGTATAAAGCTGCGCCCTGCAGAGCACCTGGTTGGTTTATATCTCTGAAACTAAAGCATTTAGAGCAAACCTGACAGGTGGCAAAAATGTTCATCAGATTTAGATTTGTCTGCCCTGAAATTTTCAGACGAATCCGACATCCCGGTTGTTGGGTTGCTGCCCCTGAGTTAGTAATTTTACAGAAATTTTGCAGTTTTTTTGTTATTATCTTAGATATAATTATAATATCTACTGTTAATTATGATTTTAACCTTATTTTACATGATTTCCAAAACATCAGTAAATACAGATGAGCGACACAGGCTCTTGAGAGCCTCTAGTTCATAGAAAGAAATGGAGCTATGTAGTCGTGGTTTTATTCCATAGAGGGTCAAAGAAATAATCACATACGCATTACAATTATAGAACGACAAAACTGTTTTATTATGCACACTATTGGAGTTCCACACAATCTAGACAAATAAATCATCATGACATTTTCATGAAATCAAATATTAAACACACAAGACAGCACATTACATCCCCCTGTTCTTGATTCCATAGAGGGCGTGTTCAATAAAGGAGCCATAATACCTCACTGGCTGACTAAAAGTTCGTTTTATTGTCTACAAATGATGAAGTTTTTTGTTGTTTTTGTTTCACTTAGTTGCAGAATGCAAACCTTAGGAATTACAATCCAGCGGCGGTGTAATCTATTTGTATAAAGCTTTATTTTTCAGATAGAAGAAGGTCTGGAGGGTTCATAGATATAAAAGATGTGATATGAGTGCAAATGAGACAACTCTTCTTCGAAGACACAATTTGTAAAAGTAACCCATTATAGGTCAAAGTAGAGCCTTCAATTCGGATCCTTGGCTCACACATAACAGCAAGCAAGAAAGGGCTCCCAAAAGACTAGTGTTAAACCATTCAAACATGAAAACAAACGGTCTAATCTATATAAACAACGAGAAATGAGAAACATTTGTCAACAAAAGACAACCTATGAATATAAGGTTCCTGACTTTGACTGACTGACATTGAAGATGCCTTATTTTGCGAAGTTTCCATCTGTCATTTATCCATGACCTCATTTTCATGGCACATGTTCACACTGAACGGAGTTTGATATGAATAAGTAATAAAAAAATCATTAATGAGGGGCCTAATGTTATTGGTGTACCCTGTAACGAGTTGCGAAATTGCTAGTGTATAAAAAACAGGGTATATTCGCTTCTCGTTGTGGTATTGTTTTGAATATATTCATGTTTATATATTTGGCACTGGGAGGAAAGAATACGATATCAAACTATGGTAACAGATATTCCTGTGGTATTGTGAGCAGAGGGGGCAGGGGCCCGCACCACCTTATGAAGCACATAACGTCCATTATAGTTTATCCTCTGCCTTTTTCAAAATTCTGGATCCGCTGCTGGTGTGATCTAGCACATGAAAGATCCGATAGGCGTGTCGGACTTGTAAACAGCAGGGTTCATATTAATATCATAAAATCATGTCCCCGTCCTTCATGTAATATTCGCAACTAGACATCAACGTCGGTCATGAGTGATATAGCCTTTGTCAAATTTTAACATGAATTTCACGTGAACTTTAAAAAAGAAAGAGGTATTTTTTCACGATTTTAATTAAATTTGAAAGTTTAGATGTTATAACAATTACTTTACTTTAAAAATTCACGTGATAATCACATGAACTGATTTCACATGAAAACCACGTATAAGCGCGTTTGAGGTGAAACTCACGTGAAATTGATGTGAGTGGAATTTGCGTGTAGTCAAATTCTTCCTATTTTTATTATACTCTACGTTTTGCTGACAAGTAACATTTTGTGATATTGATTCCTAATAATATGGCTTTTTAACTATTTAGAGCTGATTATGATCCTTAATTAGCTTTCTCTTCTCTCTTTAAATTGTCAGAATAAGGGGGCGACCATTTGATATTCTGGAGGGGGGGAGGCAGGAGGATTTTGAAAATAAATAACTCAGCCTTGAAAATCACAAAAATAAATAGTTTGTTCTGTGGTAATTTGAAAATAAATAATCTGACTATTGAAAATAAGTAACTCGGCAGGTCTTTTATGCCATTTTATAAATGCTATTCAAAAGTATGAGATGACACCAGATTCTTCATAAAACTCATCTTTTTAAAAAAAAAATTCGGGAAACACTTCCCAAATCTATTAATTATAAAGAATAAATATTATTCAAATGTCTGAAAATAGGTTTCATTTAACTTTATTATTATATTGTCTCTGTAACACTTACCTCACTTTTA